AAGACTGCTAGAAGCTGGGGCTGATGTACACCTGCTGCTCGAGCGCGGTGCGGTAGATGTTCCAAGGAAAGACGGGCAAACGGCCCTCTCGATAGCTTGATCCAGTCGTTTCTGGGCCACTGAAAAACTTTGCTGCAGTTTGGCAACTACCCAGATATTGAAGGCCAAGATTCATAGTCTATGGTATAATACGTTTGCCTATTTATTAGAAAGTGCATTTGATATACTGCAGTATGTCATACCTTAGAGCGTGATAACTTGGTATTTAATTTGGTTGAAAGTTTTTGCCTCCCACTGTATTTTGGTATGGAAAAGAATCCGCATGTCAGGCATTAGAAGGTACACTTGCACAGAGATAGCTGTTTATCGTGGCCAAAATAGTACCCTGTGATTGATATGGAGCAATGTGTCTTCCGATACAAACAAGAGACTGTAGTTCTCACAAACGGGATAGCATGCTTATCAGCAAAAAAGGCTTTGTCATTGCATTAAATCAACTCTCCTAGATATCCTTCATGTACAAATACTGCATCACTCATCAGCCGTGAGGTGAGAACCCGGGATTAATAGCCTTCACATTGTTTCTTCAAGATGTTTTCTTGTCTTCACCATAGGCCCTGGTGGCGTAGCTGCCCTTGTGAACAATCAAGTCCTCTGGACGGTAGTCATGCTTGCCGCTCAAGTAGCTTTCAAGAATAGCCTTGGTACCTTCGGCATAGCGCTTCTGAGCATCAAGCGAAGTTCCAGACATGTGGGGGACCATGGCGTTGCCACCTCCGAATGGGTTCTTGGCGGTTCGCAGTGGGTGGTCTGGTTCAGCGGGCTGGGGGTACCAGACATCACCGCCGTAACCGGCTAGGTGGCCAGACTCCAGGGCCTCAGCGACGTGTTCTTTCACAACAATGGCGCCACGAGCAGTGTTGATGAGGTATGAGCCTATAATTATCAGGTTAGCATACGTAGATGGCCTCGGGCAAACATTTGGACGACTTGCCAGGCTTCATCAGGGCAATGTTGTCCTTGTGAAACAACCCTTCTGTCTCCGCATGCAAAGGGCAGTTGATGGTGATAATGTCGCACTGTTTTAGCAAATCCTCGAATGCCACACGCTCACAGCCGATTTCTTTCTGCGTCTCAGGACTCAGAGGCTGGTAGTCGGTGTACAGGAGCTTGCAGTTAAACGGCTTGAGTCGTCGCAAAACACGCTCACCGATACGACCGACACCAACTGTACCAACGACCTTGTTCTCAAGGTCATATTCCTGCTTGGCGACGGCCGCAACATTCCAGTCACCCCGCTCCACCTGCTCGTGGGCGGGAACAAAGTTCCGAATCAATACCAAGATGGTCATAACAACGTGCTCAGCAACGGAGACGACATTACTGCCAGTGACTTCGGCGACCGTAATACCACCATTAGTCTTGTTGGCAAGGTCGAGGTCAATGTGGTCTGAGCCGATACCCGCGGTGATAGCGAGCTTCAGCTTCTTAGCCTTGGAAAGGCGCTTCTCCTTCAGGTAGCCAGGGTGAAAGCTGTGCCATTGTCAGCGCATTGACTAGAACTGAGATTTAGGAACCTTACGGAGTGGTAATGATGACTTCGGCATCTACAAGTTCTTGGTCGAACTTGGAATTGTCACCCTCCTTGTCTGATGTGGTGACGAGAGTGTGGCCCTGGTCCTCCAGCCATTTCCTAAGGCCAAGTTCATTCTCAGTCGTACCGAGCAGTTCAGGAACCTAGAAATTGATATGCCTGCGTTAGCGTTGCACTAGAAGGGATAGGTAAGTACCAGCTCTGTGTTCCCCGCAGTTCCATACGACGTCCCCGCGTTTTGGGCTGAAAAGGGCTAAAACGGAAACAGTGGAAACTCGTGACAGAAGATGTGGACCGCTGCGACTATCAAGTACGCAACCATTGACCCGGCCAATTGCTTCACAACATGAAATGCTGTCCCATTTCAGGCGCGAGAGCCAAAGGATACACAAAACGCAAAAGAAATCAACTTACATCCTTGGCGTGCTGGCCACCGTCGTAGGTACAGAGGAGAACTTTGACCTTTTCACGCGCGGTTGTCAGCGCACGCATCGATGACGGCAGGAAGCGTGGCTTCGCAGAAGACAGAGGTGACGTAGACAGCTTGTTGGCGAAGCCGGCAGCTCGAAGCGAAGCAGGACGAGCTGAGGCAGCGGAACAAGTTGAAAAGAGGGCAGCTCGGGAAGCGAGAGGGAGAGAACGGGACAAGGGGCGTAAAGATACCATTTTGACGTGTTTCGTGTATTATCTGTTTCCTTGTGGTGTTTGAGACGCCCGACGTCAATTGATTCTAGAATCGCTCGTGAATCCTAGAGAACAGAGTCCTGGGACGGAGGGAGAGAGGAAAGTCAGAGGAGGTGGTGCGACAGCGCGAGGCTACCTTGTTATTATACGTGTGGTAGGTGAGAACGGACACTCCCCGTTCGTGTTAAGCTCAGACTGGCAGGATTGACAAAAGAATTCGTGTGTCATTGGTTTCCTCCAAGATGCCGAGATGGCGAGCGGCTGGTCCGTATTTATGTTAGGAAGCTGAGCTGTCCCTCATACAGATCGTCACCCCTGAAGCTCCCTTCATGATTTCATCCCGTGCATCCCGTCCCGCGCGTTGTCTAACCCCTCTCCGGCTTACGTCTCGGCGTGATCGTTTGCTACCGTCGTATGTACGAAGGACATGTACAAGCTCTCCGATTGCTCATCACGATTACTGCCCCGTCCGTCTGGTGATGTCTACTCCACAGTTGTCTGGACGTGTCTCGCAGAAAGCTCGGCATTGTGAGACCGGTTCAAAGTTCATATGACTTCATTGGTGACATGAAGCTTTGTTGTGGGGTAATAGAGCAACTCATTTGGCGTAGAGAACACGGCAGCAAAAGCTCCCGTGGTTACGTGGCCGGCCTGTTTCGCTGCCCAGCTAGCCCAACGGACGAAGTGCTGGTGGTGGGAGGTATCTCGGGGTTCGGGATTTGATGGCTTGATGGATGGAACGTGAGGAGAAAGACGCCCGCAAAGTGCATATAAGTGGGACTGTCAGGCTGGCATTGGCCCTGTTTGGATTGGACAACCGGTGTGAGAAGCGGGGTCAATGAAGCTTGGAGGGCAGAGGGGATCAGGAAGGTACGACTACGATACTCATCACACGACACTTGGCATGGCGTGTTCACAGAGACAATGGGTCAGTCACTGGCCGGAAGGGTACGGGCCATGACTTGGTGACTTGAGCAAATCAATTGACGGCCCTCGGCGTTGTCGCGAATGAGCTCAATTCTGGCTTGAAGTTTTTTTCTTGACGGGCTGTTTGCGGTTTCTTTATGGCTCTTCCTGTCACCACATGCAACCGCCCGGTTAGGCTGGTTGCTTCCTTGGATCTGGGCCGAAGCTAACAAAAGCCACTTGGCTCGGGGAGTCAATCGTCTGCTTCGCTGCCCCTGATGACTGCTGGAGGCGCTGCAAAGAGAGTCAAGTGAGAACCGGCATCAAATGGACCGGAGCATATGCCGCCGCGTTGTCCCATTCCTAATCATATATACGAGGCTGCTATCGTCGTCAATATCAGCGTCGAGAAAATCGCACCGCGAGGACAAACGTGGTGGTCTCTGGGGATTGAGTACTCAGAATGATTGCTGAGATCAGCGCAATCAACTGTCAAGCCCTTCTTTTCGGGTTCATTGGGCCCAAAGGGCATGGTTTTTCAAGACAAGGAACAGGCTGAATTGCATCAAAAAAAGTTTCCGCAACAACTTCTCCTTGCGGAATATTTTCTGCGGCCCGCCCTACGCTCCGACGGCCAATTTCACCATGTTGTCATGCTATGCGTGATACTACCAAGGGACTCACGACAAGATGGCCCGTTTATCCGACATGGCCATTCAGCTGCTTATAATCGTCTCGTTTGCCCCTCTTTGGGCGTTATCGACTCTCGCCGCCACCACGCCGCTCACCTTTGGAACGCCAATTGATTCCCATGTTTCCCTTGACAGGACCTCTCATTGGGTGCTAAGCCTGATCGAGAATCTCGTGCAGCCCTGAGGGTCCTGGCTTGCATCAACGCATATGTCAGTTTTTGAGACGATCGACGCCCGTGACAGGTGATTAGTGTCGCACAGTCGACGCCTAGCGAATACCCGTGGCGTTGCTAACGATTTGACGCATTCCATGGTTTTTTTTCGTTAGGGATGGGTATAACAGGGACATGGTATGCATGCAAGACTGTTCGTCTTGTGTCTGGATAGATTCAAAAGATGCAGCCGAGGACACCAGGTGTTACACAGATCGACCAAGCTTCAACAAGGGTCCGAGTAATATACACTGAAAGTGGCAGCGGAAGCGGGCACGGCACGGATATCGTGATAAGCACAATGGCAGTTCCCCTGATTCTGGCCAATTGCAATTTGTTACGAGCCATGGATACATGGGATCCCGGTCTTGTCAATCCTCTGCCAGAAAGCCACGATGAGGGGTATCGAAGGCCATATTCCCTAAGCGGTTGAGACGTGGCTGGCCGTTTTGCGCACCATCTGCCAAACTAGAAGACTTTTCCTCTTCTCTGGATATCTGTGGAACGGGTTGCTGTTGGCTGCCATGGCATGAAGCGGGGTCATGCGAGAGGGGATCTTTCGTGTCGAGAATTAGGCCGACGGGCAAAGACGATTTTATCCAAACTAGCAACGTCGCCATGATTTTCTGGCGCCATGTTGTCCCATTTCTCAGGAATCCTGGCTGGAGAGGAAACTACCGCCGTTATTTATGAAGATGGAGGTCCATGTTGCCTAGCAGGGCTGATTCTGTAGTTGTTCCAACCCTTCACCACCTTGCTATACACCGATAAGCGCTATATATCTACCCGTGAGAGAGCATATGTATACGGGGTCTCGTTGAAACAGCGTTTTGTGCCCGAGTTTACACTCATTTCCTTCTGCCATCCTTTATTCATTTTCCAGGCATTCCCCAGCGGGCGTTTTTTTTCACCATGGAGTCTATTTGCACTGAGCATCAACCAAAGCACTTCTTTATGGGGGCTGTCCATTACCCGTTCTGGGAGCAAGGGGAACCGTGGGAGGGATATACTATTGAGCCACGCCAACCCGAATCTTCCAATCCTTTTGAAGACGCATCTCCTGGATCTCCCTTCGATGGCGCCATGGCCTGGGCCGATACCTGTGAGCAGCTGTGCTACATGCGAGGCTCCGTGTCGCCCACGACTCCCTCGCCTCCTGTGACAGCAACCGAGTTGTTCAACCCGAAAACAACTGAAACGATTCAGACTCAACCACCAGAGACCCCAACCGTGGCTATAAACCCAAGCACAAGCACAAAGAGGAAGCGAAGAGAGCCTCGAAGCATTGCAAAATCAGCCCATGCTGGCGACTCAAGACCGAAGCGGCGTTGTCTCTCCCGCTCAACGTCCTTCTCCACGTCCAACGTCGACCCCCCTTCCCAGGGTAAGGAAGACAAGGCTAAGGATAAAGAGGAAATCTACATAGAGCGCAGCCGTGTTGCATCCAACAAGTTTCGAGAACGCAGGCGCAACGAAATCGCCCAGCTTGAGTCAGAGGAATACACTATAGAAGACGCAAACCGTCAGCTGCGCAGCATTCTTGACGCACTGACGAGCGAGATCCTCTCCCTCAAGATGCAGCTGCTTCAGCATACAAACTGCAATTGCAAACTGATTCAAGCCTACATTAATAAGGAAGCACATCACTTTGTCAAGAGTATACAGGGAGTTGCCAAGGGGTAGAGGAGCGTCGAGGGTGTGGCGAGACTAACGTTTTGTATTGTTGCTCGCCCATCTTTCCAGCACTCATAGCAGCTGACCAGCGCAACGGGGCGTACGATATAAAGTGTATATTGATGTATTTTACCGACAAATGTAAAACTCAAGAAACAAAACACACACAAAAAGGAAGAATTATGGCCAGATTTGCAAGAATCGTCAGAAAGGAGGTTTTGAAGAACACCAAGACAACCAGCCTCGCGGCAGGATAGCCTCACGGCAGAAGGACGCAACGAGAGCAGAGGCTAGGACGGGCCATGAATTCGCCGTATATTCAGCTACGAAGCGAAATTATCAGTCCTATCTGTATTCATGGTACAATTTACAAAAGCTGGTTCGATGCTATCATTTTGATTAAGCACTGTTCTCGTTCTTCCAACCCCTCCATGCTGGATATTACGAACGAGTTCCCCATGTGGCTCGTCCTCCCCATGTGATCCATGCGGGTTGTTCCGTATCAAGACCCCACAAGTATTACATTATTAATGGCAGCCATTAGTGAAGAGGCTCCCGACTGCGTTCCGGGCAAGATGCATATCGGACACGTCGGCTCCATCAGAAACCTACCGTCCCTTCACTCACGCGGAAACGGGTGGCATAGGATCGTACCTGTGGTCCTTGGCTCCAGTAGCCGGCAGAGTACCGTCGCTCGCCTCACTGTTTGTGCTGCGGTGGCTGGGCTTTTGGTGCTGCTGCTGAGTAGACGTCGTGGCGCCAACGGGGGGGAGTCCCCTCTCCACGTCGTCGTCGTCCTGGCCCGGGTTGGCGCTCTGGTACTCGAGCCACTTCAAGACCCAGTAGACGGCAAACGCGAGGAGGGAGCCCATCAGCGGGCCGACCCAGTAGATGTAGTGGTAGCCGACGAAGCCCTGGATGCAGGCGGGGCCGAAGGACCGCGCCGGGTTGATGGAAGTGCCGGTGTAGTTGGTGCCGACGATGTGGGCGATGAAGACGGCGATGCCAATGCCAATGGGGGCAAGGTAGGTGGCCTTGTGCTTCTCCACGGCGAGGAAGTACACCGTCAACACCAGCTGCGCCGTGAGGAACATCTCCAGGAAGACACCCTGGACCTTGGAGGTTCCATTGCTGAGAGAGTTGGCCACGGTAAGCGGTCCCGGGAGCAGTCCGTCGACGACGGCGGCGGCAGCTATGGCCGCAACAAGCTGAGTAGGGATGATGAGCAGGCCCCGGAGCGGCTTGACGGAACCAACCAGCATCAAACCGAGAGTGACCTATGAAACAATGAGTACACACGATCGCGGCCGAGTACATTGTGGACAGGAAACACGAGTGTCCCAAAGGCGGGCAGGGTTGATGATGACTTACAGCAGGGTTAAACATGCCGCCGGTCACGCGGTAAAACACCCACACGTTGACGGCAATCGCCGTACCGAAAGCACAAGCAATGTAGAAGAGAGTAGCAGGGGCCAGGACACCGTGGGGCGTATCCAGCTGGTTGTTGTTGATGGCTGTCTGCGCCCCGGCAAACGACAACATGAGAAACATGAAGGTGCCGCAAAACTCTCCAAACACCACAATCAACAGGTTGCGGACCGAGTCTCCGAGCATGTGCCTGCGAGATCCCGGCTCATGGGAGCTGCTCCCTCGGTCTGTGAAGACGTTGCGCATCGGCATGGCGGGAGATCAAGAAGATGTTGTTGAGAGCGAAACGTCGGGGTTGAAACGGGTGCCGATGCCGATACTTACACAGCAGTCAAGGGCAAGGGAGACTTTGACAGAAAGCTTCGAGGGGCAAGTTTCTGACCTGTCTGCGTATTTATGTTTTCGAAGAGCCTTTGCGCGGCGACAGAGGGTGGGTATGATTCCCGTCCGGGTAGCACCAGGATGATCACGGATCCAGGAAGAGTCATGTAAATCGCCGTACGAGTTACATGTCGCTCCGTGTTCAGCAGCAATGAATTTTTTTTCCTTGATATGCTCCTCTAGTCCGTGGGTCAAACTTTCTTCCCGAGGGTGAGGAGGAGTGCGGCTAGTCAGCGGCAAGGGAAAAAGAGGCTTGTTGCAACTCGCCAATGATGAAGAGCGGAGTCCTGCAAAGAGAATCCCGTTCCTCTTGCAAGCAGTCTTGGAGGACACGACGGCACTAATGTGATTTACAGATGCAGATGTTGTGCGACTATCATGGCCCCCGATGTGCACAGCATCGTGGGGAAGCGAGAAAGATGTTGCTCGACAAACGTTTCAGTTTGCCACACTCGCTTTCTTTCAACGGATCATCGTCTTTATATGAATAAAATGTATATACACGCAGGGTCAAGACTCTCCCGCGGTTGTTTTGCACAAACCGTGGAAGCTAACAACAGCCAACGTCGGAAAGTCCGGACAGGAGGGCTTGGTTGTAGGTCCATTTCTCTGCTAGTCAACGGAGAGGAAGAGCATCGAACCAAGAAGAAGAGATGAAAAATAAAAATAAAAGAGACATTTTCAGGCGTTTGTGGCAGCAAACTTTTCATGAGGCCGAGTGGCTTCCGCGGGAAAGACGAGGAGGCGTTGGATTGGTTTCGTTCCGCACACACGTATAGTAGGCGGCGAGAAAAACCCACCATCTTCAACATACATATCTAGGCACATATATCGCAACGTCTGTTCGTTTTCGGCCAAGCCCTTGTAAGTGCGGATTATGCCATGCGGCCCCGCAAAGGGTCCCCCTTATGCAAGAAACACATGCTGCCAAGGTCTCATGGGTGCCATGCTGTGCTGAAAAAGTTGTCAGATGGTTGTGGGAAACGCAGACGGGTCCAGACCGTTGAAAGTCCGTCTCGACCAATCAGCGAGTCAGCTTTTGCCTGGCCTTCAGCTCCCTACGTAAGTGGACTGAAACTAACAGACTCGTACAGCCACATGGGATGGGGTGAGCAGAGGGATGCTGGGCCAATCAGACGGTGGATGGTCTCAGAGTTGGCGAAGGAAGACGGCGAGGCCAATTGGATGACAAGCCGACGAGCTTTGCATCGTTTGATGGCGCGAGTAGAGCTCTGTTAGGGAGAAAAGTGGACTCGGTC